CTTGACTTTAAATATCAGAGACTGTAACTCTTTTGATCTCTCTATTTTCAGGCTCTTCAGTAGGACTTAGGCAGGGTGTATTTTAGTTTTCTTTCCTGTGGCCCTTCCCCCCTATCATTCACCCCTCACTACATTTTTGGGTTTTGAACTATTGAACTGCAGCTTTCAGTAATGTCTGTCAGTTTTTTGAGTAAATTAAAGGTTGCCTTTTGTTTGTTATTTCAACAAATTTATGAGAATCATGCTCAGTGACAAAAATATAAATATACAACATTATGATAAAAATACTAACATTTGCATCGCCACTTTTTAAAACTAACATTTTATTCCATTGCCATTTTGACTTCATTTCTTTCTGTCTCTATCTTTGCTGCTAAGATGCTTATGTTAGACCTAGTTTAAGGTGCAAAGGTTGTTGTGGTATTGAATCAATGTTTATTTGTGAGGAAACTGAGGAAGAACAAGGAGCATCTTTACTGTTCTGCAGATGTATTAAGTCTGGTTTTGCAGATTTGAAAACCAGAGATAGTGTCCTGTTCGTTTACCCAGGATAGTACTGGCACATTAGTCCAAGACTCCTTCACACTCATGCAGTAAATCAGAACAAACATTCAGACTTAAGGTATTCTCTGCCACCAGATTTCTTAATAAGGGATACACTTGAATCCTGCATCACTTAAATCCCCCAAATCCTGATCTGTTTTGGTAATTCTAGAAGGTAAACAAAAATGTGGTAATCTTCTGAAGATATTTTCTTCATGCTGATGTTGTGACCTTATTCATCACAGCCTATAAAAGATGGCTGTGGACAGCATTTTGAAGGTATTTAGTAGTTCTTAACCATAAGGTTTAAAACATTTACTTTGTTAAGGAAAACTGTTGAAAAATCAATGACACTTTCCTCTGTGTGTTTCATACTGGTTTGGGTGCGTGGGTGTTCGTATCTACAGAAAAGAAGAAAAAAAACAGTGCCACTATCTGTGTAGATCACCACTGGGCTGTCCTCCAGGTTTCTACTCTTAATTATCTTTATATAATTTCTACCTTTTGCTAGCAGTTAGTTTTGTAAAATGTGAATTTTATTCTGCAAAGCAATAGATTGTAATCACCATGCTTGTTTGTTTAGGCCACTTAACGACCTTCCAAAAATTTTGACTTTGCTTTATCTTTGTTAAAGAATTTTCAGATTAAATTTCCATCACATTTCTATATTTGCAATTATGCAGTATTTAATAAATTATTTTATTTTTCTGCAAGTTCAGTGCTATTCCTTGAGATAAATTCCAAAAATTTCTTTCATTTTAAATTTAACATGCAATCTACTGATGGAGTGGGGAAAAAAAAAAAGAGGCAGAAAATAGTTACAAGTTTTGAAAAGAAGCAGAAAAGGTCAATAATTGCAGAGTAGACACTGCAGTTACTGGCTGACCTTTCAGGGACTCACAGTTTTTATTGCTTTGAGGTCTTATTGGCAGCAGTGAGTTTCGGTAGAGTAAACCATTGCAACTTCTGTTGTTTCTACTATTATCATACAATTTGTATAGTATTAATGTAAACATGGTTTGTAGAAAAATATCATTTTGAGACTGGATCGGAACTGGGGGAGAATTTTGTGTTCATTTAAGAAAAACAGGTTGTAATCTTTGCCTGATAATCTTGCTTGTTTCTTGGTGTTCAAATAAGAACAAACTTTATTTAGTCTCATGTTTCCGCACTCAGGAAATAAAGTCACCAGTAAGAGCAAATCAAAGACAGGCCTCATGATTCTGTCATAGATAAATGTCTGTAAATAGACTTCTTAGTAAATAACCTAAAATATCCATTTGTAGTAGAAATCACCAAGTTCAAAATTTTTCCCCTTTTTATTTCTTTCACAGCCCCCCCACCCACCCTTCCAGCTTTAGGGCTAGTGTTATGAAGATACTTTTACCTAATACATCCATTTGGGAATGAAATCTTACTTTCTTTTCTTGCTATTTAAAACCAAGCAGTTTCATTTTTACTAGTGCAGTCTCATGCACTTTTGTACAGTTTCAATTGCGGATTTAGGTTCATCCAAGTCAAAACGTAATCAAAGTATATGACTTGGGTTTTATAGAAGCTCTTTCAAAGTGTTTTGGTGAGCTTTGTCAAACAGATTACCACAGGCATTCCAACATGTTTTGAAAAGTTCACCCTTGTCCTTGAGGCTAAAAGGTAAAAAAAATAAAAATAACATGTGAGTTGTGGTTGTACATTTTTCTTAATGCTTCTACTTTTCCCTCACCTTAGTTACTGCAGTTGAGGTTGGTGCCACACTAGGAGTTGCTGTACAAATATTGAAATCTCTCCTGTAATGACTTTACATTGTAGAAAGTAATCATTTATGCATAAACTAGATTCTGAGAGCTTCTGCTCTCTAAAAAGATGAATTTGGAAATAGCAGTAGGATTTTTTTCAGGAATATGTATTCATGTTGCATTAGTATCACTAATAAACCTTTGGGAAAAAAAACAAAACCAACTTTGATAGAAGAAATAACAGCCTTCATTTATCAAGGAAAAAATATATAAACTCTGAAAATTCAAATCAACTTTGAGAATCTCAAATTTGTTGTGGAAAAGAGGGCAATTTTTTTTTTTTAGTATGGTTTTTAAATACTCATTTGGGATAGCAGTAGGTAATATTAAAACATTAGGATTTTTTATTGCTGTTGTCATGGAAGCTGGCAGTATTAAGTGAGATATAGGATCTAGAATTAAGTTTTCTGTGTTTTCCACTTTGTGATTCTGTGAAAATCCTAGCTCCTTCTTTTGAGGACAGAGGATTTCTTGTATTTTTAGGGCTCAAGTCTTATCTTACTTCTCAGCACTCTATAAGGTAAAGTATGTTTCTGAATTTTTCTCTTAATGTAAAGAAACCATATCAGCAATTTATATACAGAAATATAATCTTTCTGGCAATGCAGAAAGCATTTAAGCTTTCCTCTTTCAAAGTTACTTTGCTACTAGTTTGATACAAAGACTGAGTGGAATCAGCACAAATTCTGACAATCAGAACTGTTATTTGGTCAAAGCTTGGAGGCAGCAAAATATTATTAAAAAGGAATGGCTATATTATAAGTAGGCATTTATTTGAAAACTGGGAGAAACATTTCCATGAACACTTATAACTTGCACTCTGTGGCGGTGTATAAATAATGTAACACTGTGTAGCAAAATGCTGGAATTGTTTGTTTTGCTAGACCTGTAGAATATTTTTTAGTATGGAACTTAATTGTTTTATATCATCCTCATTTTCACTCATGTCTTAAAGAGGCATCTTTCTACCAGGAAGAGCCTGGAAAAAAGACTTTTGAGAGATAGATTGATGTTCCAGGCTTTGCAACTATGGTTGTTTATCTATTTCCTGTGATTAAATAATTAAATCTTTTTCTATTTGCCAGTGGATTTTGACAGCTGCAAATGTATCTTTTATTTGTCAAATGGAATGGGTAAACAATTTTTGGCAAGTATACTGTTTGCTAGATATTCCTTTTATTTTATTGTGTGAGATATTTGTGTAGATAAATGATAAGAAATAATGAACAAACAATAGAAAAATCACAGCTAACACTGATGTCTGTTCATTCAGTGTGTACTTTTTCCTGTATATTGGCATGGGTATTCTTCTAAACATCAATTACTAGTGGACACTGAGTATAACAAAATGCTGTTAAAATATTAAAAAGGAAACAAAAAGCTGTGACAGGAAAATACTTATATCATGGAAGTGGGAATGTTGTAGGGAATGTGCCATTTTTCCAGTCATTGCTAAGTAGAACTAAACCTTCAGCTCTCTCATAATTTATCAAGCAAAGATATGGATACGGGTCAGAAATCCAAACCAAAATTATTGATAGGTTTTCTTTTCTTGATTTCCAATTATATATGGAGCTTTTAATGTTTCCCTCATATATTCTGCATTGTAAGAAGAGAGAATGAGATGCCACCTTGTAGTATTATTGATTTTTTTTTATTATTTTGTTTTTATGAACTCAAATCTTAGCTAAACCAGGATTGATATAGGACAGCAAAAACTAATAGTTCTTGGCTTTCTACCAGCAGTCATGTTAAAACACTTATGGAATTAATAATAAATTTCTTGTATGACAGTGCTTTTACATCTTGATTCACTAGACTGAGTGTAGGAAGTAAATGTCAATGGCAAATAACAAAGTGACTATTTCGAAGAGCTACCACATGCCTTAACATTTTTACAAATTGTTATTGACTTGAAAGGCTGAGTCAGAGAAACTACTTTTACTGCTGATGTATAACATAGCTATGTGCAAAACCTTAAATCGTCTTTGTGTTCACACAAAGTTTCTTATACTTACTGCTAAAGTCCATAGAGATTTTTTTAATGCATTTATTCTGTTATGTACTTTAATGCCTGTGAGTACCATGATCCTTTGGTATTCTACAGACTTCACAAAGAATACAAGACTAAGCAGAATGTATAGGCTTGTATATTATAGTTTGGCTTCAACAATTGGTTTTTATGAACCCATTCACTAGAAAAACCTGTAAATCTTTTTTTTTTCTTACATCATTGTTGCTTTCAATGGTTAAATGATGTGAAGAGAATGTACAAGGCATGACTTGCAAAATGAGGTTGTCCTTATTTTTTATAATTGTAGTATGTATTCAGCACAAGCAAATATACCTTTTCTTATGTCTAGTCCTGCTTAATGAGGATCACAGTGTCAAACTGTATACTGTGTTTATTTTGACTCCAGAAATATAGATGGAAAGTTCATGCTGAGTGAGGTAACATTAACTTTATAATCTTTGGCTCCTTCTCATTGATATGCAAGTTTGGTCTGCAATTTTGGAACGGATGATAAGTTTCTAATTAGTCTCTAGAGAGTTCATGTGGACAATAGATTACTCATTAGTCTATCAACTTTGAATGAAGTTAATTTGCTATTTCTTCTGTGTAATGTGGAAAACGAAATGACATGTTATTTTGCCTTCCAGATGTTGCAACTGCCTGTCCAGATAAGAAGTCCATCTTAATGTATGTGACTTCACTGTTCCAAGTTCTGCCCCAGAAAGTCACCATGGAAGCCATCAGGGAGGTGGAGATGCTGCCACGACGCTCAAGGGTCACTAGAGAAGAGCACATAGAAGTACATGAACAACATTTCTCACAAGAAGTGAGTTTCACTTTTCTGCTTTCATCTCGCTGCTCTGAAGTGGCTATTTCCCTACCCACCCCATGAGTTTGATGTTACATGGCCAATGTAAGGCAAAAAACCCATGGGCTTACTTGGCAAAGTCTCTTTATCCCGAGCAAATCAAGTGTACTTGTCTGCATGTACTTTAATGCTGATTTTTGACTTGCACCAGGCTGTTTTGAAAGTAACTATTCAGCATAAAAGTGGTTTGCTCATCTCTGGTGCAGCACTGGGTGTTTTAATTGTGGTAGGGCACCTAAAGAAAGAACAAAGGAAATGGGGAGGCTTTACATCTAAAAATAAACATGTAGAAATATTTGTATCTTTTTAGAGAATAGCAATTGACATTCCTCCATATTCATGATACATTTTTAATTTTTTTAACTTTTTTTTTACAAACGTGTATTTTAAGATAATCTCAGTTTACAGTTGGCCTTTCAAAAAACTCATGTAATACTTGGAATTCATTTGTAATTGCCAATGTTGGTTATGTTTTTGACTGAAATCATCATTCTTTGCTGAAGTGTTTAGTGGATTTTAGGCCTAGTGTACTTGCCTGAATTTAATCTAATGTATGTTAGTTTTGGAATGCTCACTTTCTTTTGGAGTACTGAGCAGATAGGAGGTATTGGCTCTGTTTATTCAAGATGTGCAACAAGATACTTGCCTTTGCTTGTATTGAGTCCTGACAGTTTGTTGGTTTTAGTAAGGATGTCAGATTAAATTAGAGCTTTCCTTAATACCATCCCAATTTTACCTCCTGAATACAAACATTGTCTTTGAAAAATAACAGTGGTGATGACCTTCCTGCCTGTTTTTCTTCAGTTACTCTTAAAATCAATACTTCTATAATCCATGCTCCTACCCATGTGTCCATTCTGCCTCTAATTTATTCATAGATCACAGTCAGTGTACCCCAGGGACCTTCGCCTTCTCCTAAACCGCGGTTCAAAAGTTACGCATATGCACAAGCTGTGTATGTCACATCCCCTGACCAAAAAAGGAGGCAGGTTCCTCCACAGGTCTGTCAATATTGTAATCTTTTACAAACCTGCTTTATTAAGCTTCTGCTTGGAGTGAAAGAGCTTGTGCATTTTGCTTACACCTTGATCTCGATGACCTGCTTTTTCCAGGATTTTTTTTTCTGTCGAGTGGTTACTTTTTACTGTGCAGTTTTGCATGGCTGGCAATAGATGTTATGCTGATTATTAAGACTGAATAACATTCAAACACTGCTGTTTTAAAATAATAAACTGTTTCCTTTGTTATTTTTCAAAATATTACATGTATTGCCTTAAAAAAGTATTAGAGGAACAAATCAAACATAAACTGTATTTGGCATCAAATTATTATATTTCTGGTTTAGTTATAAAAAAACAAGAGCCATTGGTTTTATATTTCTTTTCCTAGCCCTTCTTATTTAAGAAAATAGCAAGTGATGGCATTTCTTAGAAGGTTACTCTAGTTGGGGAAAAAAAAGATAAAAGGAACATTACATTTAATATTCTTTATATGACTTGTATTATTAGATTACTACAATTGGTAATTTTTATCACTGAAGGCGTCATGCCAGCATTCCGCTTAGGGAGTTAGGTTTTCGGTTTGGTTTTGGTTTTGGTTTGTTTGTTTGTTTTTATGTTTTAGTAGCTGTGGTGGTTTAATAAAAATTATATCAAGTAACCCTTATAGTGAGCATTTCAGTAGTTGAATTTTTATAACTTTAGACAAGTGTGGGAGCCAAGGTCATATTGTGTACTGCAATATGCTTTCCTTTCATTATTTTGGGGAAAAAAGGTCTGCATGTATTTGGCAATACAATTTGAGTTTGCTTCTGAATACTTAATTCTGTCTAACTTCTAAAAATTATTGCAAAATTATACTTCAATTCAATTGTGTTTATGAATCTACACTTCAAGTGTCAGGTTTTTTATTGAATAATGACTTTCTTTAAATACTCCAGAACAGAAGTCCTGTGTACATTATAATAACATCAAATGTGTTCTAGTGATGATTCATACAACTTTTAAACAAGGTGTTTAAAACTACTATAATTATTTTTTTCAACAGTAATATTAAAAATCTACCAATTTGGCAGAATCTGAAGACATAACCAGAACTGGACCCTATTGTGCTACAGCTATAAGAGATATTAACAAATAAAGAGCATTCACTTAAAAACCTATGGGAAAATCACCAGACACAATCTCATTATAAAAAAGATAAACTTTAATTGCAAATAATACCAGTTAATATATTCAATTCTCAATCAGTGTTGTTTTGTGGTTTTTTTGCCACTAGCCATGTATTTCTCAAAGAGCAGCCATCGTTTACCTGTTAAAACAAATTTATAGTGCTGATAAAATAGTGGTTGATCATTTTTTCTCTAGATATCTGAAGCTGGCATATTATGTTAACGGAAATAAAATAAATATTATATTCTTTTTGTAATTTAGTAACCTTTCAATTTTACATCAATTTTCTATTATGCTTCTTGGATACCATTATAGATGTTGCAAATACCTGTAAGATTTTCAGTAAAATCTACTTGTCTAGGGGACTCAACAAAGAAATCAAAATGCAGTCAACTTTTTTTATTATTATTATCCTCAGATTTGTTAGAGTTTAGGCAACTGACTCTTACTCCCATCTAGTTAGCAAAGAAAAAAATCAGTAGATTTAGTGGACTGTGGTCTATCAGTTTCAATGGTGGATGCTGTTGTGGAGAAGCAAGATTTTCATTAAGTACGCTGGTCTTCAGTTGAAATCATAGAATCATTTCTTCTCTTTAGATCTCTGCAAATTTTCAACTTACAGGGATTTAGTATTATAATTTCCCCAATATAATAACTGAAGATACGTAGCAACAATCAACAAAAATTCTTTCACCAGCTTCTCTCCAGATTTTCTAACTGCTGAGATTAATCTTAAATGTTCTAGTGTTTAATTTGGTTATGTTTTTAAAATTCTGCATTTGGAAGAATGCTCCAATAGATTTTGTAGTCCAGTCAGGAGCCAAGTGGAACTCAGAAGAAAAATAAATTACATAGGACCTCTTTTCAAAGATTTTTATCACTGTCTTACATATTTGTCCAAACATGATATTTATGTCATACATTTGCTGCATATGTAAGCTGTCAGGAATTGTAAAAGAGTTATGAACTATGATTCTCTGAGCTCCATATTGAGCAGGAGGAGTAACATTTCCTTTTACACCATCATCTGTCAAAAAGTCCTTTCCTATCTTCTACATTTGTCTATTATGTCACATTTTACTTCACCTTCCCCATCTTTACTCTTCCTAGTGATTTCACAGCTTGTGTGTCTTTAAATTCACCCTTTCTGAATTCTTATTCTGTTTGTTACTCACACTTGCAAGTATACTTGCAGGACATAACATTTTTGTTGTGCAAATTGTGGCCAGACAAATTTTGCTTTACTTAACTGTGTCACATCTCAAATTCAAAGGAAATCATTGTTCTGCCAACCTGTTCACTCAGTGCCTTCTTGTTGTTTGATCTGTGCTTCACTACTTCTGGTTGAAGCACTTAAAATTTTTCAAATGCCATTAGTAGCATGAATAACAGTTTTTCTGCTAAAAAAAAAAAAATCAAGTTTCCTTCCTTTATCTTTTTTACTGAAAGAGTGCTCACAAACTCATGCAGATCTTGGTATAAGAATCTGCTTCTCAAATCTGAATCCTTGAATTCTCTGTATTAACATTAATTAAGGCCCAACAGAAAATGTTTCTGTTGACAAGTTGCAGATGGCAGTTACTGTTTAGCAATTACAGAAGGCTTGCCTGACTTTCCAGCTCTGTATTTTGTCTTGTGTGCACTCTCTGTAATAAGACAGTCTGCCTGGCTTCATTTAGAAGAAAAAAATCCTCAAGTTAAATTTCAAATTAATCCTCATTTAAAATTAGCTTTTCACTTCTGCTTTATATTCATGAAAGCATTGGGTTTTGTTTTATTGACTCATCTCATTGAACAGCTGACCAAGAAGAGTGCTGGGTTTACTTTCTATTTTGTTTTATCAGAGCAGTTCCTAATATTGATCCCAGGCAAACTCTTATCTCACAGCTTCCTTTTCTCCAGGTTAACACACACCCACCCCTCCCCCAGCTCCCTTTGGCTTCTCAGTTCTTCTCAGACTTGTGCTCCAGACCCTTCACCAGCTCCACTGCCCTTCTCTGGACACACTCCAGCACCTCAATGTCTTTCTGGTAGTGAAGGGCCCAAAACTGAACACAGAATTTGATTTGTGACCTCAGCAGAGCTGAATACAGTCACTTCCTTGGTCCTACTGACCACAGTATTTCTGACACAAGCCAGAATGCCCTTGACCCTCTTGGCCACCTGGGCACATTTTTTGCTCCTCTTCAACCAGCTGTCCAACAGCACCCCCAGGCCCTTTACCACTCATGGTACCTTTTCAGTCCTGGAGACTTGCCTGGAGTTGTTGTGACCCAAGTGCAGAACTCAGCACTTTACCTTGTTGAACCTCACACAGTTTGCCTTGGCCCATTGATCCAGACTGTACAGATCTCTCTGCAGGGCCTTCCTACGCTCCAGCAGATCAACACTCCCACCCAGCTTGGTGTTGCCTGCAAGTTGAGTGAGGGTACCCTTCATACCCTATTGGGAAAACAGTACTGAAAATGTAAGCAATGAAAAAATTGGGATGAACAAAGTCTATGTATATTTTGAGACTGGTACTTCAGTAAATAAGCTTTTGACAAGTCTGTCTAAAAGGTCAAATGTGAGTCTGGCTGCCTTAAATTATCTATTGTTCAAAATCAAGCCCATTCATCTCTATCATTGTAGATCTTTGTTCTTTTGACAGGAGTTATGTATTCTACATTGTGTCAAATGAAATACAGAGCTTGTGTGCAGAATTACTCTTAACATTTAAGATGACAAGCTTCAGTATATTTGAACTGAAATAATTAGAGATGCACCAGTGGTAAGTGAGGACAGTGTTCACTGACACATAATGATTTGATTTGGGAATTAAAGGCTTCACCTCAGGCCTCAACCTTGTCATTAGTTTGTGGGAAATTCCTAATCCTCCAGTCATTATTCTTGTTTTATAGAACTATTGTAATGCATTTTTGCTCATGTTCTCTGAGGTTTTTGATATGGGCTTTACAAAGTTGCTGTACAGGTCTTTCTGATGTACATAACTATAGTAATTAACTTGGAAAGTCACTGAAAACTCATTATAAAATTAAACTGAATTTATTCACACAGCACAGGATCCTTCTGGCAGCCTTGCCCTTTAGATTTTGAATTTTCTAGACCCTTAATTTGTCACATTTTTGGTCATCTACCAGCCATTTAACTTCTTTTAAAATGCTGCAAGACCTCCTCTCTGAGACCTTTCAGGGTTCATCTGTGCCAAATGCTTCAGCAGTACAGCATCACAGAATTGCTGTATTGCTTTCCTTTGAACTAAACCTTGCTTTTACCTAGAGGCTGTGATCTGAATATGTCCTGGTTGCCTTGTGGTAAAGTGCACTTTGGAGAGGCATAAGAAGACAGCTCGCATAAAGTACAACCAGACAGAAGTTTAGTTTAACTTCTTGGTAATATTTCTAATGTAAGATATTAATCACAGAAAATATCCCATTGCCAGCATTGGGGGGATTTATGGGATAATTTAAAGTAGAAGTAAGGAAACTTCAGAAATACAGAATTATCTGTGCATTTAATCACAAGATCACGAAGGATATAGTTTAGACAACAAGTATAATTCCATCTGTTAGCCTAGGTGTTCTCATTTAAATAGAAACTTACTCTGTTCAGAAAGCTAGAAACTGTTTTTGTAGAGCTAAGTAAAATCCCTAAGATTCAGACTAAGCATAAGAAAATAGCAAAAACTGTTACCAGAGGACAGAATAAGGAAATGCAGAAGTGGAAAAATGAAGCTAAGTGCAAGTCTTCTGAATTTCTTAAGGAACTCCCCTGAATGCCATGTCTTCAAGGAACAGTTTACAAAATGATGAAGCAAACAGTTTAAAGTG